GCAGCAGCAGTAGCAGTGGTAGTAGTAGAAGGAGGAGGGACATGGCAAGCTTCAGGAACGTCGAACTTTTTCATTCAAGTTGTGCGGTCTTGCCGGTGTCACGGGCCAGACTTAGGCCCAGCACATATCACGTCTTCCTGCCTTCGTGCTTGACGTTAACACCATGGATGCTGCACGCTGCAGCTCACGAAGCGCTTTGCCAGCCCATGGCATGATCTGCCGTGCAAGGCCTGCCCTCCGTCGCGACCATGTACAGCAAGTACTGCCGCTTGCCTCCGAGCCCGTGTGGTCGAGCACCGCACATGATACAGCTATACTGGAAGGCGACATCCACGTAACGAGTCCGACTTCCGACCATCAAGACGACAGGTACCAATCGCGAACCAGTTGCAGGAATTTGAACACTTCCGTTGCCACCTCCTGCTTGTCCAGGTTTTTGTCTGGATGCCACGCTAAGCATTGAGCCTTGTAATGTGACCTCTTCTCTGCGGTGGGAAGCTGGCGTGTGTTACAGAGACGCTGGAAAAGCACTCCCGCCTCCTGCCTCGCCGCAGGCAAGGCGGGCCAGGATGCACCCGCCGGGAGCTCGACATCTTCACGGGGCGCCTGCGGTGCCTGCGTCTCTCTGTCTCCTGTGGGCCTGGCTCTGGGTTCGCCAGGTCCTCCGCTAGGCCCTTCCCTGCGTTCGGATGGGTCGCCGGGCTTTTTGCCCAGGCTGAAGCGCTTCTTCTCCGGGGCACTCCTGGCTTTGGAGTGAGCCTGACGGGGTTCCGTCTTGGCCTTGGCTGTTGCCTCCTCTTTCCTCGCATTTTCAGGCTCCTTGAGCTTTTCCGACTCGTCCAGTCCGGCATACGATTGGGGCACTTCAGCATAATGGGTCCCGACTGGTTTTACGCGAATGTGTCGTTTGTTCCCTGTCGAGAGATTGATCTGAACCATTCTTGGGAAGTTGATCTCGTACTCGAGACCCCAAGCTTCGTATCGAATGAAGTCCTGACCGTGCATCCAAGCTCGCACGATGTACTGCTCCTCCTCCTCTTCGAAGTCTGCCCAAAGCCCATCCCTCAGCTCCCACTGATATCTCGTCCGAGCTCCGTCATGGGCTCCTGCTGCGACTTGAGAGCCCGCTGGAGCCAAGGCAGTCTGATCCCAGCGGAGCTGTTGGGCTTTCCCTGTCTTGCGGTTGGTCTGGAGCAAAGTGCGGAAGTCCACGTCGTAGCTCGCGTCCTCGCTTGGCCGGGAACCACGCACGGAATAGAGCACCACCAGCTGGCCTGAATGGCAGGCCTCCGTCAGAGTCATGTTCACATCCGAGGAGACAGTCTCCCAAAGACCGGGAGAAACCTCCATCTGCCAGGCTCCCCGGGCTGTAGCGGAGCTGTCTCGAGCTTCTAGGATGCCCGTGCTGGCGGGGTCCTTGCGGACAGCCTCCGCGCCTTCTTGGCCCAGCTGAGGCTCGGGGACCTCGCAAAATGCTGCCTCCCCCTCCAGACCAGCACGACGAAACGCCTCATCCTGCTCGTACTTCGAGGAGGCGCCGCAGCCCATGTCGCGTCTCAGGCCAGGGGAGCCGCCGCGGGTTCGATGGCTTCTGGCAAAGGAGGAGAGCTTAGTTTTTTCTTCCCTCGCTCCCTCGCTCGCGACTCCGCCGAGGTTGGGGCAAACATCACGAGGGAGCCACTCCCGCTCAGGAAAGCTGCGCAACCTCCAAGCGTTCAACAGCATGGGTGCAACTCTTTGCTCGGACCGCGCCTGCGAAGGCCAGGATGCCCGGCCTCGAGCTACATCCGACCCCACTCGAATGCAGGCTTTGAGGCGCAACTTCCTAGAAGCGGTGGGCCCGAGCCCTGACTACGTGAGGCGACCAGCAGTGACCAGCATCCAAACATGGGAGGCTTTGACATGTTGAGTTCAACTCAGCTCTGCTCTCCACATCCACGGTTGCGGACTTGGGATGCCAAAAGTCCTGGTTATTGCAGCTTCACCACTAAAGTTTCTGAAGTCTAAAAGGGAGCATCTGAGCGGCTCTGGCGAACAGCAAGGCTGAGCGTGCGGCCAGGAGCTGCTGAATCTCGGGGATCCACGGGATGGCAGGAGGCGGCCAACTGAAAACAGGTCAAAAGTCCGAAAGCTGCGAGAGAGGGACATGTTGGCATGCTCGTTGAGCCCGTGTGAGCCCGTGAGCACCACACACTCCGGCTCCAGTAGTCAATCCGAGCATCCAGTGCCTTGGCAAGTTCAGAAAGAAGACACACTCCACTGCTAGCCGCCAAGACTCGCGCGCTGCCCCGCAACTCACAAAGCGGAATGAACCAACCCAGCCGAGACCGGCGCCAGCACATGCCGTAGAGTCGACCTCATGGCATTGAGATTGACTTGTGGTCGCTGCTTCAAGATCAAGTCATCGCACCCACTCTTCTCAGTTCGCTAGACTTGTCGCAGACTTTCTGTTCCAAAGCAATAACCTTACGGCGCTGTTTGGATCCCAGATGATTAGTGTCAGCTGCTTTCGAAGCCAAGCCATGTGTTTACACTTAGACTTCGACTTATCTACGTCGCAGGAAACTATTTGAAAGCTCTCAACTGCTCTTGGCCGCGACGCACTTCGAGACTTCGGCCTCGGCCTCTGAGTCTCGGACCCGCCGCCGCCCCGATGCACATCATCGGAACGAGAAGACCTCCGGGCCTGCAGAGTTCTCGTCGCACGTCGGCTTCAGATCCATGCGTCAATCAGTGCTGGCCCCCCCCAATCCCGAATTGAAGCGTGTTCCAATCCCGACTTTGCTCCCTTCTATGAAGCAAGACCATACAAGTCCAGTGCCGTACCTAGCTCTGTAAGATCACTGCATCCAGGCGGTGGCGCTGCAGGCTGCCAGGACGAAGAAAACTCGGTTCGAATGGCCGCATGTTGTTTTCGCACGCCTCTCCCATGACTGCGTGTGGTGGATTCGACAAGACAGTTGAGGCCCCTGGCAAACCAAGAACAACAGCACGGTGGACAGGGGCAGCACCATGGGCCTCAGTACATCAAATTCAGCAGCACATTCACCTCAGCCACATCAGATTTCAGAAGCCCTTAGGCTGCAAGCTCCATGAGCTCGCCAAGCTAAGCTGTTGGCGCACCACGCACCAATAGATTTCTTACCACATGCGTCGGGGCCACCAGCGTCAGAGCCGCCCCAGGGCCTGTGGTGACACTGGAAGCATCATGCCACCCTGCACAACTATTTGGAAACCCTCGCTGGCAGCTGACTGTAGTAGTTCATGAAGATCTTGTTCTCTTCGTTCCAATCTCAGCAAGTGCCCCAGGAGCATGCAAGCAAGGTCATCAAAGAGTTTCTTTTTGTTGTGCTCTGAGAACTGGACTCAAACTGTCACAGGAGCCCGCAGGCCAGTTCTGCCCTTGGCACGGCTGAGAGTCGCGTACACCGGAAGGTCTGAATTAGCTCGCGGCCCATATCCAAGGGAGCCCATGGCCGAGTAGAGTTGAAAAACCTCTGCGCATTCTGAAAGACTTCGTGCCGACATGCAGGACAGCTCGCTATCGTGAAGAGAGCCGAGGTCAAGGCTTTCCTGCTCGAAGCTCCACTTCTGTTCGAAATCCGCAACAGTATTCGTTCGGCCTTAGGAGCTTCAAAGCAGATCGCAAAACCTTACATGTCCCCGAGTCTTTGACTGATGCTGCTGAGAGGGGAGCCGCCTTGTGTGAACCATCTGCTCAATGCCTAAAATGCTGCAATGCGGTGTACTGTGGCTCGGCAGCTCCGCAACAACTCTCACAACTCTCTCCGTCATGATGGACGACTCAGCTGGGACAGCCAGGACACCCTTCACACTGCAGTTCGGATTCAGCCAAATCGCATCGGGACCTGCGCACGGTCCGATCGAAGCTACATCTTAGTCAACAAGTGTTTAGGCAACTGGCGGACCATGCATTTCATTCCTGCTCACGTTCACGGCAGAGATGGGGACCAGGCAATTCAGCGGATCATATTGGATGCCGAAGAGACCTGGATGTGGCACCTCAACAGAATCAGGCAGGGCACTGATGGGCCTTAGGCCTAAGGATCTCAGAAGGCTCTGCACTCATAGGCCGCAGACATAACTCATGGTGCGGTTCAACGGGTTGTCGTCGCGCACCTGCAGAGACTTGCGAGGTGTCTCTCGCTTGGATGGCCTCTCCCCACCCGGAGGTCGCTGCAACAGCATCTCGCGTGGACATAAACTTCGCCCCCCGACTCCGAATATTTATCACTTCAGTCCCTGATCCACCATAAAGGTGGAGGGTAGGCGCTCAAGACCAAAGGGCTCTTGCGCCACGGACCAGAGGAAGAGTAGACCGTTTCTCGTCACAGGCTCTGCGTCGAGAGTGGTTACGCAGACAATCGTCATCACCGAAGTAACATTGCTCAATCTGATGCAAGACGAGTCTTGTACGCTAGGATTCAATGTATTTCATGCATGCACGCGTGCAAGACTACTTTTCGAATCTAAAACAACGCGAGAAACCATCCTCATGCTTCATGCAGAATTTAGGCATCAGCCGGAGTGGAGCTGAAGTAAAGCATGGTATCGCAGACATGGCAAGGTTTCAAAGGCAGATCAACGGGAAAATGGCAACAACTTTTGAACACCGGCGCTTCTGGTTCATCTTATGGTTCTAGAACTGTACACATCGTGCTTGTACCCGGAAGGAGACCATTCGTGCCTGCACAACCAGATTCAGACCTGCATCCACCTGTGGGAGTATGCATGCATGCGTGCATATATATATATATATATATATGTATATATATATATATGTATATATATATATATGTATATATATATATATATGTTCTGCGTGCCTCTGTACTCAACTCTGTGTAATCTCCATTTCGTCACGCGCCGCACCTCTGGGTTGATGCTGCTGGAATTCACGGTGCGGGAGCCAGTAACCAACTGGTGGAGCCAGTCCTGGCGAAGCAAAATTGGGCATGGTGCGGAACTGTTCACTTTCTTACAGGAGATGTCGTCTGCCTGTGTGCTGTCCGTGCCAGCTAGGGGAGAGGTTTTTGATGGTTTTTGTTGCTCTCATGATCCGCCACTCTTTCTGTGCTAGGTCCATGCTCGTGGTGCAAGCCATGACTCATCATCTGATGCAAACGGAACAAGCTTCAAAGCCAGTGCACTTCACTGACACGAATAAGAATCAGAACTTGCTGACGGTTGCTGTTCGAGGCATGGGCATGTGCAGATTTGCATGCACATCATGGATGCTCGCAAGTCCTCCAAAATGCAGCCGCTGCTGCCGTGGAAAGCATTCTGAAGGCTGGACTCGGTGCCTGTGTCAGAGCTCGAAACTGGCCACGACTAGTTGTAGGACGAGCAAGGAAACCAACTCCAGACTAACTTCCTCGCCACAGCTGCAGCTCTAAATGCTGCCAAATGCCACTGCTACCTCTTAGTCACAGCCTATTCCTCATATGGATGCCACACAGCGCAGTAAGCAGCAAGCTAGCATTGGTCGTTCTTCGCTCGATTTAGTCGGACTTCTGTGACTGAGCTTAGGGCAAGGTTGCGAGTGCGGTAAGCAGATCGCGAAGGCCTTGCACACGGAAGACTTCACTCATGCACATCTCCACGAACTCGTCACTGGAACTGTCGTGCAAATTTTGCCGAGGAGACCCCACAGCACGCTCCAACCTCAGTCAGGGATGAGCTGCCACACTATAGAACTCTGCAAGCATCAGGGCTGAGCTCCATGGCAACGAGGGAGAAGAGGAACCGGCGCAGGAACAGCGCCCGGCCACGGCCCAAACGCTGTGCCTCTCTCTTATTCACAAGCTAACTGTGCGACGAAGGAGAGTCCAAAGGACCCGATGCCACGGCACGCAGTTCGAGTTCAAAACCGTGTGCCTCAAGCATGAAGTGGACGCTGAGCTTGACGACCTTTGATGACATTGTCACAACTTCGGCACTTTTACGGTGATGCAGGCTACATGCTTGCGCAGTATGCAGAATACTGTCTCAACGTCCTGTCACATTGCAAATTAGCAGATACCGGTAAAAGTGTGCGTGACATTCCGGAGCGCATCGCTGCGATGCAGCGCAGCACGGTGCATTCTGCAGCAGCGCGCAATGTATGTGGTGCCAGCAGCATCGACTACATATGTTTCACCCGCTACGACAACATGGTCATCAAGCCGGTCCGTACCCGAGGAAAAGGGACAGTTTCGGGTCGAGGCACCAGTCGATTGAAGAGAATCGCCAGCAATCCACAAAGCACGCCAACCACCTCAGATCCGAGGGGAGGCACGACTCTCCCAGACTCTGCAGATAATCCTGCTCTTGAGCGTCGCTGAGCGTCGCGCGGCGACGTGGACTGGCATCCAGCTGTAGCGGACCCAGGATTGCCATGACGACTTTCGTAGACAGGCTGGCAGGCCAAAGCCGGACAGTATTATATCTGAACTCAGCGCATGTAGCATATGACAGCAAGGTTGGGCTTGATAGAAGTCTGCCAATGAACAAGCATCTTGGATGCAGATCGATCTTGCCTGCAGTCCGCTCGTATATAGACCTGAGGAGGCTGCTTCTTGAACAAAATTTGCAGCAACAACAACGGCAAACCGAGAGAGAGAGAGAGCGAGAGCGGGAGAGACCGAATGTCTGTCTGTTTGTCTGCTGCAAAAAACAGCTTGCCGACGGTGGGTCGGTATGCAAGCAGCAACCTCTCCGTTTCCTTCACACAATCTGGGCGGCCCACTCGCCGGGCAAGCCCATCAAATCGGACAGCCCGTTCGACGTCAACTTAGCTGGTTGGGTGTGCTACCAGCTTCTGAATGCGAGAAATTTCGCGAAGCGTTTGGTCACCTCCAATTTCAGAAGGTTTGTTTTCGTCCGTAGGTGGGCAGGCTTGTGCCCGTGCTGCTGCGGCCGAAGAGGCAACCGCAAATGCGCAGCAGATGAAGGAGTGGAGCAACCTGGCTGCATTCGAATGGCTACTTGTACCGGAGATGCAGAATGCATGCAGGGTGTGCAGCATGTGGCCTAAACAAGCCGAAACGGATGTGCCACACAACCAGGAGCAGGTCTCCTTTTAGCCTGGGATTCTAGTTAATCCGGTGGCTGTGCGCAACGCGGCATTCGGAACCGACATCCTGAAATGCTCCAGCCTGTGGCTGCTGGGAGTTGCAAGGCAACCAACTTCAAGAGTGTCTTCTCAAATTATCAAATTACAGGCCAGCCGTGCAAGCGCTTAGAAAAGAAGGAAGCTGCCTCCTCCACGACCTGGCCGGAGGCAGGGACCAGGTATGATGAGACACGGTCAAGGGCAGCACGGGCCCGGGCAAAAACAGTTCCTGCCAACGGCCTGCAGGCAGCGTACAGCTCCCAGCTCAGGTTGCTACTCTGCATCGCACGAGTGGGGCATTGCAGCAGCCTCTGAGACCTGGAAGAGCCTTTCTCTTTCTCTCGAGCCGCTGAGGTATCGGCGCGTTGAAGGCCGCAGCGATTCCCGCTCCGGCACCCATGACGGCCGCCTGCGCGACTCGCCAAGATTTGGAGGCTGCAGTAAGGTTCACAGTACTCTGGCAGCCTGTACATGGTAGCGCAAGGGTTGTCTTGAGAGTTCATCCTCCACGCGGCGGGACAGCGGCCCTTAGCGCAGGAGCACTTCCGCAGGCGAGTAGATGCACTGTAGCAGCAACGTCCGAGACAAGGTTGCACACATTAGGACTTTGTTAGTACTGCCGCTGCTTTGTCTGTGCGGTTCCATGCACGACTCTCTTCTGCAAACGCTCGTCAACCCACCTGGGCGTCACTGAGATCATGGCCGAAACGGCGCAGTGCGGGTGCGACCATACGTCGACAAACCAGCATGCCCACAATGGCACCTCCCAGTGCGATCTGTCTCTCAAGCTTTTCAGACTTACATTTTGCTGTCAAACCATTCGCCACATCAATCCGGTCTGCTCGAATTTCACGCAAGCCGGCCTATGTGAACCATCGGACCCTCTGGCCCTACTGCCAGCCCACCACCTACGGAAAGGACCTGAGAAGCGACTTCGAGGTGACTTCCTCTCTTCTCGCCCCCAGCTTGGAGTGTTTTGTCGTCTCAGGTCGCAGACGGTGCCCAGCGCTTTGGCCACGAGGACCGGGCCACGCAGGGACTGAGAACAGGGCAGGCTGGTGAGAAGTGTGTCTCACCCGACAACACCTAGTGCATCTCACACCCTACAACGAGCTTACGATCTGAGGGATGGGCGCTTTGCAGGTCAACGCCATTCAAGAAGGCCAAGACCTTACAGCGCAGGGACTGCAGTGCGGGGCATGGTGCCGAGCACTGAGGAGACGTGTCATCTGAAGCCCCTGCTCCTGGAATCCCGGAGCCGGAACTTTGTGGCACCAGCAGGACGCAGACTGTCGCCTGCCAGAGAGTCAAGTGGGCCCTAACCAGGAGGTGCATTTTAGTGTACATGAGCCCTGTCTCAAGCTGTAGTGATGATAACTTGTCTAGCAGCACTCCTAGGATCGCTTTTGGCTGTGCCTGCCTCCGAGCTCGAAGGCACAATTGACTTTCTAAGGCTCTTGCCAGCAAAGCGAAGCCTGCAGTCGTACCCATTGCCTCAGCGCAAATTTCGGGGTAAGCCGGAAAGGAGCATCTGCGCTCCTGCACAGCATTGGCTGCGATTGCTGCCGTAAGCATCTTCAAGAAGCTCAGGCTGTGTCCACCGACACGGCTCCAGCGAACTCCCAGTCCCAGGACCGCTTGCCTGCAAGCGTCTGTCCATCAACTGCAGTGTCTGAGCCCTCATCGCCGTGCCTTCCAAGAGATGGAGGAAAGCCTCCCGCCGCCGACCTTCGCCGAAGGGCTACCAACATTCGAGGAGTAGCAGCGTGTTTGGACCACATACTAGGACCTCTGCGCCATCAAGCAAATGCGTTTATCATCGCGCATCTGTCGATGTTGTGCTCGGCTTCGGACCGCCCAGAAGTTCGCAGCCGTATCTCACAAGCACGGCCGCAATGCCCACGCTGATCCCGACGAGAACCTAAGATTTTCTTCTCCAAAGGAATCCAGGCATCACTGGCCACGGTAACGTGTGCTAGGATGAATGTTATTGGATTTCTGGCTGCTTCCAGGCCAAGAGGCATTTAAGAACTGCCGGAGTCTCCTTGGTTGAAGCAGAAACTATGCAGGCGCCATGATGAAATCGTGACATGCGCATGAGATTAAAGCCTCCCGCTCTTGTGGTTCTACAGGGTAATGCTTGGACTTTAGCGCTCGCCCGCATGTCATGGGCCGAAAGCAATTAAAAGAACCAGCAGAGAGGGAAAGACGATCAATCGGGGTCGCAGAGTGTTTCGGGGGTTGAAGGGGCCCAAGTCCGTGCAGCCCGGGAGGAGTGCATAAGCAAACCGCTCGGTCAGGCTCGGGGCTTGGGGCTGACAGGGTGCAGAGAGTTTAGGGTTTGGTTGAGCCTGAAAGGTTTAGGGCTAAGGCTCTAGGACGCGGTTTAGGACTTAAAGCAGGGGCTTCGTCACTTGTCTTGCTTGCTCTATGCTGGCAGCCTTGTCCGACGGGTCGAAGCAGATCCCGAAACGGAACTTGCAGCGTGGAAGGAACATGCTCACAACATTAAAGAATACCTGAAGAATACATGAAGTGCCCAAAGATAAGGCATTGCACGATGTAACAACCATCTCGCAAGTAAAGCATTGGCTGTTTATCGAAGCATCCGATGCAAAGAATGTGGGCGTATGATGAACATTGGCAAAGCGGCAGAGATCTAGGGCTTTTGGCCGAACTCGTCACACATGGGACAGCTACATGCTTGTCCACCGCTCGACAAAGTTTGGTTGCTTGGCGATTCCGTGCTCCGAGCATGGCTTCAGGGTCTGCCATGCAACTGCGGAAGCTTCCAAGGGCGCTTCGGGCATGAGGAATCAGGATTGCTGGGATTTGCGTGAAGGGCTTGGACGGCTTCGACCCTCTGAATTCTTCTGGTTCCGCCTTTTTTTGTGAAGGGTTTAGTTTTCTTGGGGAAGGTTTGAAGATGGGGATGCGGGCTTCAGGCCAGCAGACCGCCGACCCCTGCAGAGCAGATGCATGGAACCTGAGGCTCTGAGCTCTCCAGAGACAACGACCACAAGAGAGATGGAGAACCGAGAAAGGAGGGGAACCCAACCAACTACCGCCGCCAAGGCCTCCAGAGTCGCGCCGGTAAGGCGTGGGAATGTGGAGGGGGGCAAAGGGGGGGGCAAAGTGTAACAACTTCAAGCAAAGGCTTTGGTCGGGCGTCTTCGCCAGCTGCTCCTCTCGTCGGCCGGTCTCCAGGCCTCCAGAGACGGGCTGTGCAAAACCCCCTAATTAGGCGCTCGCCATGCCTGTCACACAACCCTGCGAAGTGTAAAAAATTCGTCGAAAGCCGTGCCGGACTGGGAGCGTCACACTTTGACCTGGTCTCTGCAAGATGCCGCTCCTCATCAAGACCAAGGCGGCGCAGGAAGCAGCTTTCTTGAAACCCATACAGCACCATGATAGCTTCGATTGACCTTGGCAGGGTCCTTGTGGTCGAAGGGCGCATGGAGCTGCAACGAGTCCACCTGACAAGCGGCCCGTCAAGCTGCGTCAGGAAATCGCTGTCACTGTGCTCGTTGTACTAGTGGTGGTAGTGGCAGCAACAGCACGTGGAGGAGCAGGAGGAGGAGGAGGAGCACT